TATCTGCTCATGGCGACCGCCATCTGTGCTTTAGGTGGCTGCCACGGTGCAAATATTTTGGGTGTCTTTCCCAGCCTAAGTCCCTCGCATTTGATCATCCAAATGAGCACGGCTAAAGTTCTTGCGGAGAAGGGGCACAATGTGACGGTGATCACGGTGCTGAAGCCAGTGGTCAACCACAAAAACATTAAAGTGATCACGGTGCCACTGACCAAAGAGGAGGCCCAGCAAATGAGTGACATCATTGGAGCGATGTCGAAGAGTGACAATAGCAACATGATCCTGTCCATGCTCCGCATGACGAGTCAGATGGACTTTATGTTCGATAAGATGGCTGGTGCCCTCAAGGACGACCGTGTTCGTGATCTGTACCTTAATAGGGACAACAAGTTCGACGTGGTTCTCTCTGGATACTTCATGAACGATTACCAGCTCGGATTCGCCAAGAAAGTGAACGCACCTGTAATCGTCGTTGCCACAATGCCTCCCAATCAACTGTTGAACCCTTTGATCGGCAACCCTCTTGAGGTCGCCTATGTGCCCTCTATTAGCGATTCCGTCGAGAAAGGCAAAGGCATGACCTTCCGGCAGCGCTTGGCTGGTTACAGTTCCAGCCTCTTCTTCGGAATTTTCAATGTACTTACCGAGCGGCGTAGTAAGAGATTGTACAAGTAAGTGGGAAGCTTGATAGTCTAACATTCTTTGTTAGTATAGTTACGACAATTACGATTTCTAGGGAACTATTCGGCGATGATCCCACGATGCCCGACTACTCCGAACTGCTGAAGAACACCTCGTTGATTTTCTTCGCCTCCCACGCACCGAGTGAGGGGCCAATCCGACCAAATGTTCCTGCTGCCATTGAGATCGGAGGCATACAAGTAAAGGACACGCCGCATCCCTTGCCCCAAAATATGGCCGCATTCCTGGGTAATGCCACGGATGGCGGTATTCTGTTGTCCTTGGGTTCCAACGTGAAAGGAAGCCATATAAATCCAGACACGGTGGTGAAGATGTTTAACGTATTGTCTAAGCTGAAGCAAAGGGTGATCTGGAAGTGGGAGGACCTGGAAAAGACTCCTGGAAAGTCTGATAACATCCTCTATTCGAAGTGGCTTCCACAGGACGATATCCTGGCCCACCCAAACATAAAGCTTTTCATTAATCATGCCGGAAAGGGCGGCATAACCGAAGCTCAATATCACGGAAAGCCAATGCTGTCATTGCCCGTATTTGGAGATCAGCCCGGAAATGCCGACGTCATGGTCAAGCAAGGATTTGGCCTTACCCTGAGTCTTCTCTCTCTGGAGGAGCAGCCGTTCCAAGAGGCCATCCTAGAGATCTTGTCGAATCCGCAGTATTCCGAGAAGGTGGCCTCGTTCTCCTCCCTGTACAGGGATCGCCCGATGACTGCTAGGGAATCAGTGGTCTACTGGACGGAGTACGTCATCCGGCACCATGGAGCTGCCCATCTTCAGAGTCCTGTGGTGCACATGAGCTTCATAGCCGCCAATAATATAGATATATATGCTCTAATTGCAGTTCTTCTACTAATTCTAGTGCTGCTTCTCAAATTGTTACTGCAATTTACTTACAGGAAATTCGTATCGAAGACAAAGAAAGAGAAAAAGCACTAATAGTTCGTCCGCACTAATATATAGCACAATATAGCACTAATATTCCGAACATGTATATTAAAGATCGAGGATCATGACTATGTTTCCAAGCTGATAATCGTACAAGCAGTTTCTTTGAAATATATTTTATATATATATGCGGCGGAGTAACTTTAATTTTTCCCATCCTAAAATTTCGCTCTGCTCCTTTGTACGTGTTTTGGCAGAGCCTGCGGTCAAACGAGTGTGTTTCTTCGGCGAAATTCGAGGGAAAACCATCTGGCTGGCAAAAGAAAAGCGAGGGAAATGGGAGCCAGCATAGCGAGGATGACACTTTGTGGCGCACGACTTGGAAAACGGAACCCACACCTAAAGTGAAAACCCCGGATGGGGCAATTTACAGTTACGCGGCCACGTGACTTACTAAATCAACTTGGACTGCGGCATCCGAAAAATAAAGCAATAAGAGTGGCAATAAAAAACACCTCAAATCCAATTCCCGCCCAGGGTGATGTCGCCGGAAATGTCGGGCTGACAAATCGCGTGCAAAAATCTGTGAAATCTTCGTTTGCTGCCATCTCTATCTGCACATTGCTGAGATGGAGTCCTTGTGCACTAATAAATAAAACTATGTGTTATGTTTTCTTAATTAGGTGTTTAGCATCGCATTTGAAGTTTCGCTTCTGATTTCAAAATTGTTATATCTAGTGAATATAAACCGATGTTCCAATGCAGCTCTATTCGATTTGTGGACTACATTAAGTAAAATATGTTAATCATTCTGTTTGCTTCACTCAAAGTAAATAGTACACGGTTGCAGACTATTACTTAAAGAAATTTTACTGATTATTATATAAAATATTTCTTGGTTATCCAGAACACATGCTATTTTTTCACTGCAGATTGCTGAGCAACTGCTCCGAGTTTTCCGTTCCAGGAGCGCGGTTTTCGCTTTGGCGCCTGGTCCTGGACTCAAAAAATCCCTCCGAGCATCGGCGGCGCCTCTTTGGCAATTTGTTGGGTTGGCTTCTTGTTTTTTTTTTTCCTTTTGGCCACCATTGCCTCCTGTTGTTGTTGCTTCATCCCATTCCAGTGGCAGTGGTAAATTTTTTGATTAATCAAAGGAGATTTTTTTGTGCAGTGCCCGTGTCTCCTGGCTGTTGGTTTGTCGGTTCGTCCAAGAAAGGAGGCAGAATTAATGCAAAAATGATGAGTGGAAATTTGTCAAGCTTATTTACTTCCGTCATTTAATGTGCCCGCGGCCAATCGTGGGTGGGTTGGTGGCTGGATGGATGGATGGAGTGGGTCAGAGGCGTATCCGGATCCGGAGCTGGGACTCAAGGCGAGCCCAAACCAACAGACGGCGGAACTTATCTTTGTTTGCTCAAATTTCGTTGTTATTTTTCCCGATGCCCAAGGCAATTTGATGCATAATTTTCGGTCAATGCCTGACAGTTTTTGTTCTTGTTTTCTTTTATCTACCGATTTTTTGCTGTCATTTTTACCTGCGGCGGCCATTGGCCATTGCATATTTTAGGCCGGATTTAGTCTAATGCGTTGAGTATTTTTCACTGGCCTGTAAAGTGTTTGGTTTTATATTTATTGGCGGGGGGTGCTAAATCGAATTTTCCGTTGTTAGCATTTTCCTTTCATTTTTTCAGTGTTTTTGTTTGTTCGTATCTGTTTGCCATAAGTTAGGTAAACGACTTTGGGAAAGGAAATGAGGGGCATAAGCGGTTTTTTTAAGGGGTCCCAACCGCTTTTTCAGGAATTCGGATTAGGTTCCTTTTTGGCTCTGATAGGCATCCACTAAGTTTCTAGGAAACGGAAAGCACTCAAAATATTAAAGTACACTTGTTAATGTATCAATTCGGCGAAAGCTCTTTCAACAATTACTTAATGGTTTGGTTAAAATGTAAGCTTAAGTAAACTTCATGGGTTTTCATCGAATTTATAAACAAAGTTTTCTTTTCCTTTTTAGTCTTTGATTTTGAAATATAAGAAACTATTAGGTTAAAATTTTCTGTTGTTAATTTAGAATGCACGGTTGTAGTGTTTACATAACCATCTGTAACATGGGGCTACTAGTTCTAATCGAAATGAGCTACATATTTTCCTTACTTTGGCCGCCATTGAGGTGCCAGGATCCTGATTTAAATTCGGTTATATTTATTGCTGCCATCCACATTTATCTACTTCAAGTTGGACCACTTTGCATGATCGGAAATCAGAGGATTACTGCAAAAAAACATTTACTTCGACGTACAATCCTCCACATAGTGGGTGTCCATCTGGCTCTGGCTCTCCTTTGGAACCCAACAGGTCTTGTGGCCGAAGGAATTTTGTCTGCTGTGAAAACAAGTGATTTACCCCAATACTTGCACCTGATTCGACTTTCAACGGCCTTGAGCTTCTTGTGGTGCTGCTGGAGTCTTCCGAAAAATCGTGAGAATTGTTGGCATATAAGTAAATCAAGTGATGGGAAAAAGAGTAACTTTTGTAATGAAGTCCATCCGGTGTTGAATGCCTTTCCATCGAAGATCCAATTGGGAAGTTTGGGCTTGCAGTACAGGGAACGCTTTCCGAGGCCAAGGGAACCCTCATATCATGCTGTTCCGAGGGGACTCTCAAGTCGTAATAAATGTATGTGACTCGCACTTTTGGACGTAAATAGATGCAGTACCCAAGGCAATATATTAAATAACCATTGTTAAAATGTGGAAATGTGTGCTCATCATGTTCGGATTTAGAATGTTTTCCGGTTGTATAATATTTACACACGTGCTTACCTTTGTATGTTTTATAAAGTAGTTCTAAAACATGAAGAATGTATGTTTTTTAATTTTTTTATTTATTTCCCATACATCATTTAATACAATTAACAATTCACATACAATAATTAAGTTTACTTGCCATTGATTGTGTGTGTTCCTTTTTTCTGTGCTCAAATATTCATGTGTAAATTTGTTGATATTCAAATTTTACTCCTCTATTGAAATAATTCTGACATATAATCGTAGTTGGTAGCAAATGTTACGTTTATATACCTAGTTATTAAATTATTCTTCATAGTTTTCATTCAGTGTTGAATTTTTGGTTTTGCATTTCCGTTGGCTTGTTCACACATAAATAAATGTTGCATTACACTTATGTAGGAAATGGCTGGCCTTCCTGCTCGGACCTAGACTAATTCGATTTCGACTATATACAAATTCAACTGTTGCTGCCTTGGCTTGTTAACTTTTCACTTGGCTCGAAATCCTGCGAATCACCCAATGCCCTTTCACTTGGCGCGCGTGTCTATTTTATTTCCCTTAATTGTTGAGTGTGTGCACTTGGAGGCAAATCCTGGATACTTAGGCCAGAAACAGAGCGCCAGTCACTGCCAGCCACTAACTCTGGGAGCTTTGCCAGCGCAGAATGTGGACAAGGCTCAGGAGCCAGGCGGCCAGGGAAGCTAGAAATCACAACAGACATGGTTACTATTTGATACACGTAAGTAAAAATAAAATAAATAATATCTTTCTCAGAAGCCCAACAAAATGTTTTATCCCAGGTAAGCCACGTTCAATGATATTTCTGGGTGGAACTGCTCTCCAACTCACCTGGTTGGCCCGTGATGCAGGATCCGTTCTCGGTGAGCCGCTGCTTGGTGCCGGCATCCTTGAGCGCCAGGATGGTAGCCCGCACCTTGCTCTCCCTCCTGACGGCTGCCAGTCCCATGATGTCCGCCGTGCACCGGAGCTCCAGCATTTCGCTCTTGCTGATGAACCGCTGGTCGTCCAGGTGTAGTCGCAACTGCAGGTGGCTGGCGAACAGGTGAAAGCCGTCCACGTTGCGTGAGACTTCGTTGATTTGCGGCTGCAAACTGTGCCCAGGTGCCTGTGGCCGGAAGCAAACGGAAGCGGAAATGGAAATGGGAAAGCGATGGGTTTAAAAGCCAAATTGTGCACCACATGCGGGCGTGCCTTTCAGACCTCTCCCAGTACTCTGTCAACATTTGGACAAGTTCGATGGCCGGGCTAAGGTGGGCTTAGCGACTGTGCCAAAGTGCTCCTCAAATAAAAAATTAGGTTCCTACTTTTACACCCGGAAAAATGAGCACCATTATTATAATAAACTGAAATCCAAATAGCTAAGCTTTCCTATTAATAACTTTCTTCCATACTTACCGTTTTATTATTAATATACCACGTTAACTTGGCCATCGGACTTGACAATTCCGTACTGCAATTGGCATCGAGATAGTCGTGATATTTGTACACATGTCGCACGCCCGAAATGAACGGATCGAATTTGGGCAGCACTGAAATACAAGTTTAAATAATAATTAAAAGTTGTTTCAGGAATGCATACATAGGGTCAGTTGTCTCCGCTTTGTTCCAATTGCAATTAAAGGTCTAGGATTTAACATGACTGCATGGCTGTCCATTTAGAAAAAGTGCATAAAGTTTCTCATCTCTGGTGGCAAAAGTAAATTTGTGTGCCCAACAATGCCGGCAAATGCATAATGCCATTTGGGCAGCAAACTTATCCCAATTAGAGAGCCCCAAGTCGGGCTGAAATCCGAGCTTAGTTGCCACAGAAATGGATGCTACATGGGAAAGTGCAGCCGGCACTTGCACAATTACTGACACGCCAACAGCAAATATTTATTTGAAGTGTTAATTAATCTTAACAAATAATTGCCCAGGACAAAGTTTTTTGATGAAAACAAGCGTAATTTAGTTTATGGCGAGTGCCCCCTCGCCATCCCCCTCTCCACCTCTCACCGCACACCAAACCAACCACAATGGCAACAACAAATCCCGAATCCAAATGAATGTTGTTGTGGGAAATTTGGGAAATATGCTAAGGACCTCCAAGGCCTCCAGAGACAATGGACGGTGGGGACTGGGAGTGGGATTGGAAGTGGAAGTGCCTGTGGGTGGGGCATCAGAAGTCAGGCAGTCAGCAGGACTGAAAACTTTTTAATTGACTTAATACAAACCACTTTGGTGGAAAGTTTCTGACCTGTTTCAAGTACAACTTACGGGTTGGAGGACTGACGGACCAATGGACGGAATTCAGAGTTGAAGTTGATGATTGCGGCCATGTTGTGCCTGGTGCCTGGTGGCTCGCCCCCTTTGTCCGTTTGCCGCCCCCAATTGTGGGACTTGCATTGCGGGCGAAACAAAAGCATCAAAAATGAAAATTCAACGAAAACAAAGCAATCAACTAGGGTAAATAAACCAAAAATGGCTATGTTGTATACCCGAGTGCTAGTAAAGCACCAGAAACCAGATTGAAAAAATACACACACCCAAAAGAAGGGGGAAACCCCTCGGAAAACCAAGAAATACAAAGCAAAGTCCGTCTTTCAGGGCAAAATTTGTATTGTTGATATGCTAAAGGAGCAAAAAAAAAAACTTTTCAGGATTTTCACTCTAAACAGGTGTAACCATTTTCGAGAGTGAGTTTATTTTAAAGGTAAATCTAACCTCGAATGATAAGCCACTTTCATTAAATGGCAAATGTCAGAGGGGCAGATTGAACACAATCACTGAGAATTGAATATTTACCATTCAACCTGTTCTTTGGCTATTACCTATTTATGATTGGATAAACGTTTATGCTAAGAATTGTTTGATTTTTGTAATTATACAAATAGTGGGTACTTAAGTCAAGACAAATAATCTTATGTTCCTAATGAAATTCATAATGTAACTTCCCCAATTATCGACTATTTGCCTTAGAAGTTGTTTCCGCTTCTTTCGTCACAAATTTCTTTCAGTGAAAGAGGGAAATAAAGAACCTAAGCAGCTTGTCCCTTGAAATGCGGCAAATCTCCGAAGTAATTAAGTGCGGCTCAGTCACCGTTTTATGGCCAGTGTGTGTTGACCGGCAGGTCCTGGCATATCCTGCTGTAGCCTGGTGTATCCTGGCGTATCCTGACATTTCCCGGCCCACTGCTGAGCTGTGCAAACTTGGCAAAGTTAATCAGTGTGATGACACACGGCACGCAGCTAAGCGACAAAATATATGCCCGGCAAAAGTTTGAAGCAAACCTCAAGCCCCCTGGCCAGATCCTGTGTCCTAGTGTTCCCGTGTTTCAGTGGATTTCTGTATCCCTGTACCCCTGTAGTCCTGGACCTAGCATCCCAGTATCCGGGTATCCCTGTTTCTGGCATTATCAAAGCGTACGGGGTGATGGCTGTTTGAAAATCGAGAGGCAGAGCATTTGGGCCGATGTTGTTGTGACAAAGTTTTAAGGTGGTTACGATGGCGATGGCACTTTAGTGACAAAATTCCCAAGTCGATTGTTGGTCTGTCAACAGCTTCGCCTTCATTGAAACAAAAAACAGGCGACACCAGCTAAAACTACGTGCATCCAATTCCCCCTTCAACCACACTTTCCCACACACTTTCCCCGCATTTCCCAGCTTTTCTCACACTCCCCGCACACAAACACATTGTTCTGCCCAAAGAGGACTTTAAACTTTGCCGCTATCTCGTTGATGAAGTTTGATGCCATGGCTGGTTGGCTTTATTTTGTTGTTTTGGCTCTTTTTCCTCGTGGTATTTTGTTTTTTTTTTGTTTTTTGGTGCAGTCTGTTCTTTTTTTTAATTTTATGTATATAAATTAAAATGACGAAACCAAATGGCCACTAACGTTGTTACATGCCAATGGCAGTCGCCGCAGCCACTACGACTATTTTATTATCTCAGCAAAAGATTGTATCTGTCTAGTTTTAGAAGGGATAGGAAGAATGCACAGGAAAATAATGACCGGAATATATTTTGTAATAATTTTTACAACATATAACGCTTTAAGTTATTATTTTATTTATTTTCTTAAACAAGCCATAACAAGCCATCTATACAAATGAATTCTTTGTGCAGTAAATACACCTTAATATTATGATATATTTCCCTCATGAAACTCCATTTAATGTCGATTCAGTCTGTGCACTTTTGCTGCTGCAGTTCTTTCAATATTTCACAATTCCAAATCAATCACCATAAATCAGAAAGAAATAAATAAATGCCAACTAATAATCGAGCAGTATTGTGGCAAAAAGCAAGGGAAATTCGATCGTGTGCTGGCTGAGGGGGAAAATGAAAGGCGGAAAAGGGAAAACCATCCACGTTTCAGTAAGCTCGTCCTGCAGACTGGCACTTAATCCAGCCACTGGGATTTCCATGTACAACCACTTGAGCATGGCTTACTTTGTCTATTTAAGTACGCTGAATAGATAAAAGTCAAATTGACATGCAAATAGCGAGCACACAAACAGTCTGCCCTCAGCCAAACATCCAATTAAAGACGCAATACAAATACGAAAATGCGAATTCAAATTTGATTGTTACGCGTAAACAAATGCCTAAGTGCGCATTATGCAAATCAATATCTCTTAAAGTAACGTCAATAAATAAGCCGCCCACAAAACGAACCCAAGCTCGCAGCATGAAGCTCGTAGCTCGAAACTCGAAACTCGAGGCCTCGGGCCATCCATTTAGCATCTATGTGAAGGACTGGCGGCTACAAAAGGAGACAAATCGCTGAGCGGCGAAATTGCGACAAATAAATCATTTTGAGCCGCATAGAAACTAGAAACAAAAGACATAAGCAGGCCATTTCCATTTGGGCCGAAATCAATTGATTTGAATTTCAAAGTAGAGCCAGCCCAGCGACCAAAACTCCGACTGTCTGCCTGACGAATTCTCTTGGCCGCAATCAACCACAGAAAAGGGAGAAAGGGACATTGTCACACTTAGAAAATATTTTTGAATTTCCCTGCTGACAAACAAAGTGCACAATTTTCATCTTTTCTGTAGAAAAAAAGGCTAACATGTAAAAGAAAAAGTGATCGATCTTAAAAAAAAGTCCTTAAATGTCTTAATATCAAAGTATTTAAAATTTAACGAAATAATAATAAATATTTAATTAAATTTTAAATTAAATATTTTAAGCAACGCAAAATTTGAATAAGTCCCATTTTTTGAACAATGTTCTTAATTCCGCTTCCTGGTATTTTGAGTATGATGCAACATCTCTTTTATAAGTGGTTTAGTCTGTAAAACGAACCTACAGACGGTTAGGAACTGAATATTTTTATTATGAAATACAATCAAGAATCATGATTATCTGCTCAGTGCACAGCAGAGTGTTGGGTGCTGGGCGGAATCATCGTCATGTACGCTGCCAATCAAAGCGAAATCAAAATGGTGGGCGATGCGTTGCCAGCGGCTTTTGGTGGTTCGATGATGCGGTGGTGCGATGGTGTGGTGGTGCGGTGGTGCGGTGGTGCGGCGGTGCGGCGGTGCGCCGTTGACGTTAACAAACCCAACTACAAGTGCCACAAACGAGTTAGTCCTGGGACATTTGTTGTATTTTGTGCCATTACCCTGGTTATTGTTGTTGGGTAGGCCCAGCACGTGACAACGGCAAACGACCGCGCATTGTAGATTATAAATTGATTCGTACAAAACTCACAATTGAGTTGAATTTGTTCAGCAGAGCGGCAGGTGGCGCAGCGGGGCATTCGGCCGTGGTGTTCACTGTACGGGCTGTACGCGTTTCGGGATGGTTCGTCCCGGATTTATTAACAATCATTACTCATACAAATGGCTGACGCGTGTCACAATTTTCCAGCGCTTATGCGACGCCCTTTTGAACTGCCTACTGCTCTAGGTTCGTGACCCTATTGCGCCTCCTGCACCTCCCGCTGCTCCTCCCCCGTACTCCACCCCATTTATCCGTATCCGGTAATCCGTGAATCCCTCCCCAATCCGCCCGGAGAACACTCCGCCGGTGTGGCATTGATAAATGGAAAGGAGTTGGTGACTGAACTCCCGACCCCGAATTCTACTGGCCGTGCAAGGACCATTTATAATTTTATTAAGTGTTTGCAAAATTGCACATAATTTGTTGTCTTTCTGTTGCAAAACATAAATCAAACACAGCTACAAAAATAACAGACGCAGAAGGCGGCGGACAGTGGGAAATTAGCGATTATTTATCAGCTTTTGTGATGGTGTAAATTGTGATTTTAGCAAATAAAGATATGACTAGCCAAGAAATTCCGTTTTGTGGTTCATTTAAGAATAAGCTTTATAACCTGAAAATTAACTTTGTTACATTTTTAGAACAGCCTTTCCCCATATACATACATTCCCCTTTTCTATATTTTTTATGTGGTTTTTGAGTGTCCTCGCCCACTGTGTGTTGATCGCACCGAATTTTTGTTCACCTACCTCCGACTGTCATATTGGCCGTCTGATCGATCAGCTTGAACTCGGGCGCATCGCCGGACACCTCGCACCTGTACTGTCCGGAGGAGTGGGCACTGAGCTTCTCCAGCTCCACGTTGCAGATGAATTGATTGCAATGCGGCGAACCGTCGGCGATGGTGACACCTTTGACGGGGAACCAATTTGTTGTCGGCGGTGTTAGAGGCGAGTATCTGAAAGGAAAGAGGTGGCAAGAGGGCGTTAGAGAGAGATGGGGGTGGAGTGCTGCTTGAGCTCGAGTGCTGCGCAAAACCGATACCATGAAATATTGATGAGGAAATCATCTGAAACTAAAAAAATATATTTTTTTTCACTCTCTACAGCTGCAGCACTCGTCGAATTGTATACAGAATTTGGCAGGGCTGTCGATTTTATTATAAATATTATGCAGTTCCACTCAACTTCGTATTGTCTTCGGAGCACATCCAATCCAATCCAATTGAAATTCAAAATTCAAAATTCCATTCATAGATGTGTGCATTTGCATTTGATTACAGCAATTAGCGTGGCAATTGGGGAAAAGCGGGTAAGATTGCTTCGAAGTTGAATTTGGTTCAGGGTTGTGGAAAATGTTAAGGGAATGTAAGGAAGTGTCGATAATTCGAGCCCGGGGAGATGGAACTTAAGAAAGTTTAATTCCACAGAAAATATGAAGTGCAGATTATTGTAATTAAATGATTCCTAATGATATAATTGGGCTTGTCGAAAATCTCCTAATCAAAACGTGCACTGCGAAATTAATCAGAAGGGCCATTATTTAAACCTGAACTTTGTGTGCTTTCTTTGTCAACGCCATAACCAAATGGATTGTTAGGTCGATTTGTTCGGCGTAAACACTCAATTTAACAGATAGAAAAGCACGGTCGAACAAATTCAGAATTGCACTCGAAGTGCGTGTGTATCCTTTGTGGAGTTTTTTGTTACAGATGGAAGCAACCGCAGTGTCAAATGCACATGAATAATTGAAGCCGAGTGCAGACCGCACAATCAAAACGTTCACACAAAAGAGTAATTGATAAGAGGCAACTGCCTACGGCAGTAAATTACTGGCTAGGCCATCCCCAGAATACGCCCCCTTCTCTGTCAATAGTCCTGACCTGCCACGCCCACATCCACTTCCCTCACCCCCCGCGAATATGTCAAAAACAATCATTTCGAACTGGTGGGCAAACCAATCGAGTGCGGTGGCCAAAACGCTTCAAATTTGCATCGAACTTCGTTGCTGGGGGCGTGGTTGTCAAATGGCTCTGAGCTAAATAAATCTAAATTCAAGCTGTGTTATTATAAATATTAGTTAAACAAAAAAACGCATTTAAATCTTGTTTTTATTTCAAAACAAAGGAATTGAGGGCAACAAAAAAACATCAGGCAAATTTAACGAACTTTGAATACAAGTTTTTTCTTAAGTTTAATGAAGTAAGGATTTGAGTAATAGTAACTAAAGGATTTTCACCAATATGGGCGTGTCCGACCATCTGGCAAAGTCCATAAGCCGTTAAATGGTTCTGATATTTGGCATAAATAACACTTTTTGCCCCTTGACTTCTCCGTATTTGTAGCGGGGCTTTTAAAATCAATAACCAAAACATTAAAAAAGATTTGTAATGCCCAAACACACACCTTTTGTTAAAAATTTCACACTCGATTAAGTCCCGGATGGAGAGCACGGATCTGGGCTACGGTCTTCCTGGATATACGTGGATATGTGCGCACCTGTATGCGGCAATGCAATGTGCAACAATTAAGCCAGTTAAATAAAAAGCCCTCTTCGCACATATTTGGGCCCGATATGGCAGCGTCACCTGGCCGCAATTGCAGGCGAGCCATAAAAATCCATTTCAATTAAGCATTTAAATTAGTTGCGACACTTTCAAGCCACCCAGCCCACTGCCAATTTTTCCTTTTTGTTTTTGTTTTTATTTTTTTTTAATTTTTTTTTTTTTTTTTTTGGCAGTTGGTGCGAATTTACTTTGTTGCGGACAGTGTTGCAGTTTCATGACGTTTTCAATTTGCGCCATAAAATCTGCATGAATGCGCCGGCACATTTCGCAACTCCCAATCTCCGGGGCTCCCTGGCGACATTTTATTATTTCAAACTGAATGCCGAAAAATATTTTCATGGTGGGTTGGCGAGCTCAAGAGTTCCAGATAGGGAAGGTGGGAGCAATTTTATTTGGTCTACGGCCACAGCCACGGCCGGCGGGTTGGCTCACCTGAAAAACTCGAGGCCATCCTTGTACCATTTGACAGAGTTCAGCGTCCGATTGCCCATCGCGTAGCTGCAGAAGAGTTTCGCCTTTTGGGCCACGTCGATAATGCGCGGGACGGACAGGTTGGACAGGTGCAGTCCCTCCGCGGGCACAGGAGCCATTCCTGCAACGACAGAGCAGACAGTGCAGCCAGCATTAGCGAAAGAAATTGAATATATTTTCCATATATGCCTCTTATAGGCTAATTTACATCAGAGTGCAATTTACAAAGAAGCTAGCTGAGATATAAGCTCATATTTATAAAATAGCTTGATCATCAATACGAGCATCAATACCAGCTAATTCTTACAAATATATTTACAATTAGTAAAACAGCGCTATTATTCCCAGACAGATATTTGAAAAACCTTTTATTGCATTTTGTATTTATATATTACAAAATCAGGATCATTGATAACCATGTCTATGTCAAATATATGTGTTATGTTTTCTAGTTGCAGCATTTTCCGTTTAGCTAAACTATAGCCAGGCTGCCAGCACTGAATGCAACCTGAACGGAAACCGATTCCACGGGCATTATTGGGTAAGCTGTTGATAAGTGCGAGCTTGCCACATGGCTGGAAAATTTTGGACTCGATTTGGGGAAGGACGGGCTTACCTGCACATGAAGAACTTAAAATAATAGATTTTGTTTCGTTATCCGCGTGGATTTCATTGTTTGCTAAGTGATTTCTCTTTGGATTTCGAAATATTCGCGGTCGGCTGATGTGCGGCAGCAGTGGGTATAAAAAAGTACATTCCCTAAGCATTAGGTTATGATAGTATAATTATTTAACGTTGCAATATTGTGTCACCATTTTTTAATTTTTTAGTCATTAAACAGTTCTTAGGGCATTTAAGAATACATCAATTGGCAGGCAAACAATTACATAATTAAACGAGTTCCTTAAATCTCTGGAATTATTTTCCCCCAGCTGGTCTTGCTGTATAGAGCGAAGAACCTTTTTTTCAAAAGGCAGAGGTGCCAAAAGGGTCGCCGTCGTTAATTCTTTGACTTTGGGCGCCGCTGACCCGTCGCTCGACCTTTACGCTTTCTCACATTGCGAGAGGTCAGACTCGGCACATTTTAATGCGTTTACTTTTATTTTTTTTCCGCGTCGCCACATCCATTATTGCATTTAAACCCGGCCTCGCAAATGCAGGCAATGAATCAAATGCCCGACCCGTCGGCCGACGCGGGTATTAATTAAGTTTATATTACTTGGCCAGATAGTAAAAATTATATAAACGGACCAGCCACGAGTGGGTGGCGCTCTTCCCCCTTTCTCCAGCTGTTTTTGGGGCATGTGAACTATGAACTTCGGCTGACCGACAAAATAATTAGCCCGGACCACGGTCATCTCTTTCGCGAGGATATACATCCAGCAGTATCTGTCCTTTTTTCACACCCTGTCGGCGGAAGCAACAGTTTCTCGTTTGTTTATGGGATGGCGCTTTTCCGGCGGCCAGGGACGAGTTTTAATGGCCCCAGGGACAACGGCTTGAACGTCGGCTAATTACAACAAATAACAGACAAACAGAAATTAACTTATGTGCTACATAAATTAGCGATGTAATATGACTTTTTCTGGCCACCTCCGCAGGATGTCCTGAATTTATTGCCACGACAACTACGGTTGATATTCGTCCCCAAGGAGCCAAGTTAACTAAGCTGCGTGACACAGTTTGCATACCTAACAGTTGTGGCACTAAAGGAATGGGTAAATGATTACTTTGTTTATTAGATCTCAAGTCCTAGCACAAATACAAATACAATACAAATATAATACAAAATTCTTAAACATAATTGGGCAATGTTCCACTGTTCGAATGTAGAACTCCGTTTATAATTTGCATTTATCCGCAAGGGCATTTGACATTTGCTATTTTGAATATTTGCATACCTTTGTTTATCAGTTTTTGCCATCGTGTTAAATATTTTTTCTTTACCCTTTTTTTGCCATTCTGTTAAATGGTTTTTTTTTTGTATGCTCGTTTGCCATTTGTAATCATGTTTTGTTTGCATATGAAATTAAGGCCAGATGACATGTATGATTACGTCGGGTTCGCATACACCTTTATTTTTTATACCTTTTTTTGCTGATTCGACGGGGGATTACACTTAAACGATTTTATTGTTTATGTCCGTATGTCGTTAAGCCCGAATAGTTTAAATTGCGGAGCGCTTAGAGCAATTTGCCATTCGGCGCAATCTTCTCGACAAATTGCTTTATGTGCGCACTGTGCATCCTAGACACATTACTCATAATGACAGGCGAAAAATTCGATTAGCTTGGAAAGCAATTAACATGCAAGCCGCACAGGCATCCTTGAAAGGGGGTATTAACCCTCTGGTTGGCAAGCGTTCAAATAGTTTTCCGATGCCAGGGATTAGTATAAGGGGATCGATCCACTACTTCCTTAGAGTTTGAAATTAATGTTTAACCATTTAACTGTCATAAACTTCTATTAAACGCAAAATACTACTAAGACACTTTAAATCGAAATAAGATCTCTATATAAGGCAAATATATTACAGAAAGCTTGCATGAAGGAGTGCCCTATTAGATCACTATGCCTAAAATATAGCACACAGGTAAGCAGAGGGTTAAATACAAAATATCTGCAAACATGACTAGGGCTTTTTGTGATCAACTTGCCTACTGCTCGAATGCTCCACTTTATCTCCGCTGGCGGAACTGGCCAAAATCTCGCATAAGCCTCTTTCGGCCAACTTTGCTTGGCCGCTGGTGCTCCAGTTACCCTTGACTGATTGTCGGTCAGTTAATATCACTCAAGCATGCCCAGGCGACGAAACGCCGATGACAGACAGACGGAAAGACAGAGAGACGCACAGACAGCTGACCATGTGAGCCCGGCGATGAGTTGGCCAAAAAGCAGAGTATTCGGCTCAGGACCCTCGACTCACATGCGATGAGATAATGAATGCGTTGACGTTCAAGGATTTAATGTGCCGAAACAATGATGAATTAGTGACGAGACAGAAATTTCTCAAGCGCAAAATAATGAGCATTAGGCTGTTGGCTTGCCGTATCCTCGAATCCTCGAGGACATTCATGATGGCCGTCCCGTTGCGGACATTTGGTCCATTGTGCGGACAATTTGCTTTGAATTTAGTTGATTGCCGGACGGAATTTGGCGCCATTTAGCTTTTTTCCTCTTCAACAGCGCATTAAATTTACAAAGCAGAATTGAAAATTTAAAGCAAGGCCAGGGCTATTTTAAATTTAAATCGTAATGACTATTGCTGGGCAGGGAAACTGAAAGATATCCTGGCTGGGAGAATTTATCTTTGTCATCGCCGTTGACATTGACATGTGGCACTTTTTTTTGATGATACATTATTTCAGTGGATGTTCTTTAAAAATACTTAAAAATATGTTACTTAATATAGAAAGCTAGGACTGGGCTGCAATTTATATTCAATTAGGATTTAAGATAGTTCGTTTGATGAAAAATCCTAACAACACGAATCAAACTTATCGAACAATTTCATATCACCATAAAAACGGACTAAATGGCCATTTCAAATGCTGAAATACATCGAGTTTCAACATTCTCAGCCCCTCAAAAATGTTACTATTTAATTAGCATTTGGTTAAAAGCATTTCCTTTCCTCAATTTTCATTTGGCTTCCGACAGATTCTGCTGGCCTTCGTAATTTTAAAGAAAACGAAAAGTGAGAGCTTCGTTACATGATTCGTTACGCCCTGAATAGAATGCATAGCTCGGAATTTTCTTGTTAGTTTTATGCTGAGCCACAGCCAGGTCTATTTTCTGCTTGTCAATGCCCTCTGCTCCTGCAAAGTTGCCTCAGCTTTCCATGTCCCATTTCCATCTGCTCCCCATTTCCATCATAATTTTTTGCTCAACATGTTATTGCTGCTGGTGGAGTTCCGCACATTTCATCTTGGTTACATTTACTTTCCCTTTCCTTCTACTTTTCTTTTTGTTCATATCAGGCCATATATTCTTCCTTCACTTTAGTTAACATTTTTAGTGGCTTTCGGAGGTTGGGCAAACAACAAAAGATACATCATCTTTTTTTTTGCTTCACGAATAGTTCGGTGGTGTTTATATGTGGACTTAAAGCAGGGCTTTAACGTTGAGTATCAGATGGTAAAGTGTTTTATGTTGTTATTCTTTCTCCTTTGTGGAGAGTCCATGGGAGCTCCTGACAGTTTTATACACTCGGGAATTGGTGGGGTTTTAGTTCTTGGGTTCCCGAGCATGATACGCCTTGATGGATTGCCAAGGGCCTGTTTTCTGGCATGCCTTCGATTCCGAGAGGTTATCTCTCACTTTTACGCTGATTAAAGCCAGTCCAGAATGAACTGAACTGTTATAGAATTATGCATAAATTGCGAATAAATATGTAATCAGATGAGCAACTTTCTGCAGCTGCTCTGCAGCTAAAAAACTGCATACTCGCAACTATAAGATGCAGCGACTCGACACTTGATTGCAGTAGCAAAATAAAACTCGTCAGGGTAAAATGGAGGGCGAGAAAAGTCCAGAGGCATAGGGGCGTGGCAGGGATCGACCAGCTCAGCGGGCAAGTAGGTAATAGTTTCAGGTAAAAGCCTGTAAACGAGCAAAACTGGCACAAACGAGCTGCAAGTTGAATGCAGACGAAGATGACGATGATGATGGCACGGAAAAACTTAAAGAAAACTCAGAACTTTACTCACCGAATGGGTGATATCCCTTGCAAAATAAATTGTTGTATGAAACATTTCAAGAGTAATATATAGCAAGTATTACAATTTGTTCAACCACTTTTGTCATCGTTCAAATTAAAATATAATATCAAGTTGAACAATAAAATGTAAATAAGAAAAAATAAATATATTACTAATATCTGGGCACATATAAATTTAAATTGAAAACGTATCAAATTGGACATACGATCCTAAGTAGACAGCGAAATTCAACGCCAGAATAAAATGGCCGATGTAAGCGAATGAAGTGAGTGGATAAAGGTGGAACATAGGATAGCCAGAGATCCTAGGCAGCTGTGGCAAATGCACCTCTAGTCGGTGGATGTAAGGCCATTCAGTTGGAAACTGTCGGTGCCAAGTTCCAGAGTCGGGCTCAAGGAGC